GGACCGTCTGGGGGCCCTCCTGGCCCGTCTTGGGGCTCTCTTGGGGTCCTCTTCGGCCGTCTTGGAGCGGTCGGGGGGACTTCTTGGGCCGTCTTGGAGCGTCGGGAAGCCGAAGAGGCGAGGAGGCCGAAAACATCGAAAAACACAATAGAAATCGACGATTTCTGTCGCTCGGGGCCCTCTTGGGAGGCCTCTTGGGAAGCCTCTTCGGGCGTCTTGGACGCCTCTCGGGCCGCCTGGGGTGAATCTTCGGCGTCTTGGGCCCATCTTTAAGCGTGCCGGGGCTCTCCGGGGCCGTCTTGGGAGCTTCTGGGGGCCCTCCCGACATGTCCTGGGGCCTGCCTGGGCGGCCCGGGGCGGCCGGGGGCCAGCCCGGGGCGATTATGAGTTAATGGGGCCTGCGCCCTTCTGGCACGCACTGGGCCCTGCAATGTAGTAGAGACTAGGGCTGACCCGTGGACTCCGTCCACGACATCTTTCTGGAATGGTTCTCGGAGGAACGGCGCAGATTGTACCGAAAATCTACAAACACGGCGGCGGCTCGGGCGGCGGCAGCGAGACCGCGCCTTCGTGTCCGAGCTCTTGCAGCGCTCCAGCAGCTTGGCCCAGCGCACTGCTCGTTCACCCCCCTCCTATTGAGGACAGTTTCGAAGTCTCTCGGGGATGTGCGTCGAAGTCGAAGCCCATCTGAGGCGTCTCAGGAGCGCTCGGGGAAGGGCTCGGGAGGCCATCGGGGAAAGCCACCGAAAGCGCCAGGGAGGCTCGCAAGGATCTACAGGGAGGGCACAAGAGAGCTTCAAGAAAATTCGAAATTCTGTAAAATCTTTAGAGAAACCGCTGTTGGGTCGGCCATCACCTCCGGGCGCGCCTTGATGGCGCGATCCAGTCGTCGCATCGCCATGTCCCATTCTGTTCGCCCAGAGGGTCTGTGGAGGCCTTCGGGCGAACAGAACGGGACAGGGCAAGGAATGGGGAAGACTTGTCCGAATCTCCTGGGCCCCCCAGGTGCTCGTCCGAAGAATGCGGAGAGGTCCCAGGGTCATATCAATTGGCTGCTGTCCCAGGGGTCCGGTCTGCTTGGCCCGAAGAGTTTGCCAAGGCCCCTGGGGGAACAGAATGGCACAGCATATCGGGCAAAGGGGGGCGGTAGCTGGCCTGTCAGACCCGGCGTTCGTCTTCTGCCCAAGCGGCGCGGGGCCCACGGGCCCCAGGGTTGGCGGCCCGCTGGGTTTCCTCTTGTTCGCCCACAGGGTTGGAGGAGGCCTCCAGGCGAACAGAATGGGGCAGGACAATGAATGTGGGAGACTTGTCGCAAGCTCCCAGCCCCCCCAAGTGTGCGCCCGAAGGGTGTGGGGCCGCGTTGGCTCCCTCAAAGGGCCGTCTTGGAGCCGTCCAGGCCCGTCTTGAGGGCACCGTGTGCCGTGATGGGGCCGTCTTGGTTCGTCGTGGGCCCCTCATGGGCCGTCCGTAGGCCGTCCTGGGCCCATCGGGGTCCTCGCGGGGCTGTCTTGGAGCCGTCTGGGGCCGTGAGGGAGCCGCCTTCGAGTCGTCTTGGGCCCCTCCTGTGCGCCTCCTTGGGCCGTCCTGGGCCCAGCAGGGGCCGCGTTGGCACCCTCTTGGGGCTGTCTTGGAGCCGTCTTGAGCTGTCGCAGCGCGCCTTGGGTTGTGCTGGGTCCGTCTTGGCCCGTCTTGGGGCCTTCCTGGGCGTTTCCTCGGACCCTCCTGGGACTTTCTGGGGCCTCTTGGTGCATCGGACCGCCGAAACGGCGGGAAACGCAAAGGGTGCAACAATAAACAATGGAAAATTAACGATTTTTGCCAGCTGGGGCTCTCTTGCCATCTTGGCCCGTCTTGAGGCCCCGACCGGGCGCGTCCTTGGGCCGTCCTGGGCGCACCCTCCTGGGACCGTCTTGGAATCGTCTTGGGCCGTCTTGAGCGCGCCTTGGGCCGTCCTGGGCCCGTCTGGGGCCGTGTTGGCACCCTCGCGGCGAGGAAGCTCGGAGGCGGGCTCGAGGCCTCTTTGGGGCCATTTTGGAAGCTGTTGGGGCCTCTGTTGGGGCCTCGTTTGGGCTCCTTGGGAGCCTCCTGGGGCCTCTTCGGGGGATTCTTGGCGGCCCCTTGGGGCCTCTTGGGGGCCTGTTTGGGCCTCCTGGCGCCCTCTTGGGGCGGAATGCTCGGATTTTCGGTCCGTGGTCCCCCTCTTGGCCCCCTCTTGGGCCTGTCTTCGGGCCCTCGTGGGCCGTCTTGAGCGTCTCTTGGGTCGTCTTGGGGCCCTCTTGGGCTGTCTTGGGGCGCTCTTGGAAACCTCTTGGGCCGTTCTGGGGCGCTCTTGGAGGCCTCTTGGGCCGTCTTCGAGCGTCGGAAAGCAAAAAAAGCGAGAAGGCCAAAATCCTTCCAAAACCCTCGTAAAGCGGATGATGTCGAGGCCCAAAACCGTCCAAAACCTCCTGAGGCGGTCCCCTCGTCCGCCCCCGTGGCACCTCTTGGGGACCTCTTTTGGGTTCCTGGGGGCCTCTTGGGCCTCTCTGGGCTCGTCTATCGCGCCCCTTGGGCTGTCTTGGGGCCCCCGAGGGCCTTCTTGGGCGGTCCTCGGGCCGTCTTGGAGCCATCTTGGGCCGCTCTTCGGGCCATCTTGGGGTCCCGGTGGCCTGTCTTGGGCGCCTCTGGGGCCGTCCTGGGGCCGCCTTGGACCGTCTTGGGGCCCTCTTGGACCGTCTTGGGGTCCTCTTGGGGACCTCGTGGACCGTCTTGGAGCGGTCTTGGATGCCTCTGGGAGGGTTTCGGAGCGTCGGGAAGCCGAAAAAGCGAGGAAGCAACAAATCTAGGGAAAACCAATGAAAATCAACGATTTTGGCCTCTCGGGCCTCTCCTGGGATGCCTCTTGGGAGGCCTGTTGGGCCGTCTTGGGGAGCTATTGGGCCGTGTTGGGCCAATCTAGGGCGTCTTGGCCGGATCATTGCGCGTCTCGGGGCCCTCCTGGGCCGCCTTCGGGGCATCTTGAGCGGCTCGGAGCCGTCTTTGGGCCGTCGGGGCGGCCTCTGGAGCGTCTCGGAGCCGTTTCCCGGCATTTGACTGGATTTCCTTCCGGCACGCGCTTCCTCCGGCCATACAGTATATATAAATGACTACGGGCTGCGATCTTCTCCGCAACGGGGCCGCTCAGGCGCCCAGCGCACGTGTCGCCTCTCGTCCGCTCCCCCGCTCCTGGAGGGACTTCTGAAGGCACTGAAGGCTTCGTGGGGGCCGTTTCGGAGCCTCTTCGGCCTTCGTTTGGGCCTCCCAGGGGGGGCTCTTAGGGCCCTCTCGGGCCGTCTTGGGTGCCTCTTGGGCCGTCTTGGGGCCGTCTGAGACCCGCCTCGGCGCCTCTTGGGCTGTCGTGGGCCGTCTTGGGCCGCTCCTGGGGTCGTCTTGGGTGCCTCTTGGGCCGTCTTGGGCGCCTCCTGGGCCGTCCGGGGGCTGTCCTGGGGCGTCTTGGGACCGTCTGGGGGCCCTCCTGGCCCGTCTTGGGGCTCTCTTGGGGTCCTCGTCGGCCGTCTTGGAGCGATCGGGGGGGCTTCTTGGGCCGTCTTGGCGCGTCGGGAAGCCGACGAGGCGAGGAGGCCAAAAACATCGAAAAACACAGTAGAAATCAAGGATTTCTGTCGCTCGGGGCCCTCTTGGGAGGCCTCTTGGGAAGCCTCTTCGGGCGTCTTGGACGCCTCTTGGGCCGCCTGGGGCGAATCTCGGGCGTCTTGGGCCCGTTTCGGAGCCTCTTCGGCCTTCGTTTGGGCCTCCCAGGGGGGCTCTTAGGGCCCTCTCGGGCCGTCTTGGGTGCCTCTTGGGCCGTCTTGGGGCCGTCTGAGACCCGCCTCGGCGCCTCTTGGGCTGTCGTGGGCCGTCTTGGGCCGCTCCTGGGGTCGTCTTGGGTGCCTCTTGGGCCGTCTTGGGCGCCTCCTGGGCCGTCCGGGGGCCGTCCTGGGGCGTCTTGGGACCGTCTGGGGGCCCTCCTGGCCCGTCTTGGGGCTCTCTTGGGGTCCTCGTCGGCCGTCTTGGAGCGATCGGGGGGGCTTCTTGGGCCGTCTTGGCGCGTCGGGAAGCCGACGAGGCGAGGAGGCCAAAAACATCGAAAAACACAGTAGAAATCAAGGATTTCTGTCGCTCGGGGCCCTCTTGGGAGGCCTCTTGGGAGGCCTCTTCGGGCGTCTTGGACGCCTCTTGGGCCGCCTGGGGCGAATCTCGGGCGTCTTGGGCCCATCTTTAAGCGTGCCGGGGCTCTCCGGGGCCGTCTTGGGGGAATCTGGGGGCCCTCTCGACATGTCCTGGGGCCTGCCTGGGCCCCCGGGGCAGCCCGGGGCGGCCCGGGGCCAGCCCGGGGCGGTTTTGAGACATTTGAGCCTGCTCACCCTTCCCGCACGCACGTGCCCCTGCAATGTAGTAGAGATGACGTTGGGCTCCAGCTTCGCCTTCCACATGTCACTGAGCACTGAAAGCGCGTGTTGCCATTGCCCGCCTTTTCTGCATGCGCTGGCAATCGCAATGTAGTGGCCTGGGACAAGTTGCACACCTAATCGAAGTCCTTCGCGGAGCAACCGCAGTGCTACGCTCCATTGTTTTGTCCGACCGCAGTTCTTGATCGACGCTTCGAAGGAAATAACGCCTTCTCGAGACCCTCGGCCGATGCCCAGCATCCGAGAAGACACGGCACCGCGGCGTGAGCCACACTGTAAATACCTTGGGTCAACATCGCTCGAGCCAAACTGGCTTGAGGTAAAATAGCTTGAGCCAAAATGGCTACGGAAGGAGGAGGAGGAGGAGGAGGAGGAGGAGGAGGAGGAGGAGGGGTAGACTGTCTTTGGTGGCACCTCAGGCCCACATGACGTCAAGTACGTCTTTAATATCACCTCCCTCCAGTGGGGGGCATGCGGTCCCGCTTGCTCTTGCAAAATACGGTTCGCACGGGCGATTGCTCATGCTCGCATCTCCTCATCTACTCTCAACGACCCCCTCTTCAAAAGAATGTCCTTCAATGATGCGCTCCACGATCTGTGGCTTGGGAACCTCTCGCGTCCGCTCCTTCACGATGACTTGCGGGACCTCAACGATCTTTTCGAACGTGTAGATAGGCCTTGGTAGACGGAGCTTGGAAGAGAGTGGGGTGGCTGACTGACTCTGCTAGCCACCCGACTCGAATCCACAACCTCTGCAAATTGCGCCCACGACAAGCCTGCACCAACGGCTACGAACAAGAACTTAACGATGGCTCAACATGCGCAACACCAAAGTGTTTTCATGAACGAGCCGGAAAGTTCTGACTGTAGTTGTGTGTGCAGTAAATGAGAAACTGGTGGGATAGGGGAAATGGATTTGGCCCACGGGGAAGGGCAACCAACACGGCGGATACGTATGCATAGCGCCGTGGGGGATAACGAAGGGGACCGAGGAGAAAGGGGGAAACTAGGAAGGGATATGAAAATCTGGGGCTTACTTGGAACGTGACAAACTCCTATGTGACTTGTGTCATGCTTGTACCGTGGAATGTATATGTCGACTGTGTGGTGTCCCGTTCGGCCAAGCAATTCCAAGTGGCTCACGTGCTGCAGGGGTACAACAAATATGTCGCCTATCACCTCAGCACCCCGACCTCATTCGAACCGAACCGTCCCCCGAAAGCGAAAGCGAAAGCTGAACATACTTCATCGCATCCAGACGGGAAGGCAGGAGAGGGCAACGCAGGATCACGTTCAGCACCTCGCGGCAGCGGGCTGGGCTGGCGCCCGGCAACCGCAGGGCAGCTCGTCGCCCCGAAGCCCAAGCAGCGAGCACAAAGGAGGAGGAGGAGGACGAGGACGAGGACGAGGACGAGGAGGAGGAGGAGGAGGAGGAGGAGGAGGAGGAGGAGGAGGGAGGAGGAGGAGGAGGAGGAGGAGGAGGAGGAGGGAGGAGGAGGAGGAGGGAGGAGGAGGAGGAGGGAGGAGGAGGTGGGGAGCAGCCCCGCGCAGGCCGTGATGGAGTGCCCCGTCCGCCTGCTTCGGGCGGTGCCAGGGGTGGTCCAAAAATTGGCTCCGGCTTCCCCGGGGGGGCCCAAATGGCCTCCAGAGCTCGGGAGACTCTCCATGGGATCCCCAGGGGATCCTATGGGATCCCCCCCCCCTGGGATCCGATCCCCCCATGGGATCCCCCCCCCATGAAGAGTCTCACGAAGAGCATCCCTCACGAGCCCCAGGGATCTCCACATGGTACGACAGCACTGGGGGCACCTTGGGCCAGGAGGCCTTCACGCAACACCTGACTGATCGACGTCTTCGGCTTGCGGTCGGTTGCGCCACAAGCTGCGCCGCCGGAAGTCGAAACTTGCAACGGTTTCCGAGTGTGTGCGGCATCGGGTGTGCCCTCGGCCGCCGAGACTTGAGGCGTCCTGCCCACGGGCCTGTCCACCATGTGTTGCGCCCTGGGCAGCCGGAAACTTAGGACGTATTGCTAGCTATGCGCAATGGATTGCGCCCTCGGCTGCCGAAGCTGAAGACGTATTGCTAATGGTTGCGCAACACGTCCCCCAAGACGCAAGAGAGGCCCAAGAGAGCCTTACGACGGCCCCAAGAGCGCCCGATAGTGTCCCAAGAGCGCTCAAATGGGGACCCTTCCTGTGTGTGCTGCCCACTTCCCTGATCGAGGCAACTCCTCTGGGCATCGTCTCTGGATGGGCTGGTGGGGTTGCGCGACGCGTCTAGACTTACTTGATTTCTTTGATGCCCACATGGGCGGAGCACGGATGACAAGAGGATCGGGCTCGTGCTGTACATGCTCATGATCGGCACATAATTTTAGTTGACATATTTTTACACCACCATGATCTTCGAGCAGTAACTCAGGTGCAACACCATCCACAACCATTATCGGTGAACCATAGTATTTACAAGGTTGCGTGCCTTTTTCCACCCTTCCAGGGAATCCCCGCCTGAGCGAGGAGGGTACCAGAGAACCCTACCATTGATAAGGTTTCGCGGCCTTCCCGCCCCTCCAGGGAGGCCCCGCCAGAGCGAGAAAGGCATCGGATACCCTTTACTTACCAAGTTTACGGCCCCTCCCACCCCTCAGGGAAGCCCCGCCTGAGCGAGGAGGGTACTGGACAACCGTACTATTTACACAAGATTCTGTGACCCCCTCAACCATCCAAAGAGGCACCGCCTGAGCGAGGAGGGCGCCGGAGAACCATGCTATTTACAAGGTTTCGTGCCCCCCCACACCACTTCAAGGAGGCCCCGCCTGAGCGAGGAGGGTATCGGATCACCATACTGTTTACAGGTTTCTTGCCCCTCCCACCCCTCCAGGGAGGTCCCGCCAGAGCGAGGAGGGCATCGGAACACCGAACTATCTGCACAGTTTCGTAACTGTCCCGCTCCTCCAGGGAAACATATTTTTCCATGCTGCAGACCAGACGCACAGGGAAAAAACAATTCCTGTAAGCGCTTGCCTTCACAGCCCAACCCCTTTCCCACGGGGCGAATCAGCTGCTAAACCTAAACACCGCATTACACTGAGTAAAGCACCCAAACAGAAACGGAATTTCAGCACGCGTGCGCCTCAACAACGGCCGCCACGCACGACTGGCTAGGAACCACCGCGCTGTTGGCGGGCAGGGCACGAAGCCTAGATTGATAGGACGGCGGCCGTCGGCACAACGGCGGGAGTAGGAGGGAGGAAGGAAACCGGCTACGAAACCAACGGCCGGCGCCGGATTGAGCGCAGCAGGGACTACAGAGCTGAGTGGCCGCGGGCGCCCTCCCGCAGCACGGCAGGCACGGCGGAGATGACAACGCCCACGCGCAGGGGCCCGCAACGGGCGTCGCCGTACGCCCTGTACACCGCGTACACTGTCAGCGCCCGCAAAAGCGTGGTTTGCTCCGCCGTGTCCTCTCCTTGTCGGAGGCGACGGGAATGGCCGAGATTCAAAAAAAACAAGCAAGCCGGTCACCGGGCGCCGGGAGCGCTAGGCCAGCGTAGCGCGAGCAGAAGGAGTGATACAGCTCGCAGAAAGCGGAGTGCTTTATAGAATCTTCCCGCGATTGCAACCGAGCAAGCACCTCGCTCTGCCCTGGAAGCGCCGCGCTGTGCACCACCCATTAAAAGCAGCGCGGGCGAAGGCAGCGCACGATCGCGGGGGCGCGCGAGAGGACAACAGCCGCCCGACCGCGCACAGCCGGTCAGGCCGAAGCCGCGGGAAAAGGTCAATCGACCATCTGCCGAGCTTTGCCCGAGCGTGCACCAGGGCAGGGCTGCTTACAGGCCTCAGTAGGTTGACGGCCTGGCGCTGCCACGTCCCCCGCTCCGCGTCGCCCATCGGGTTGGTGTCCATCAGGCAGGGCGCCATGCCCCGAGCGCGCTCCGCCGTCGCAGCGGCGCCCGCGGCCTCCTGGAGTCGCAGAAGAGAGCACGTCCCGATTTAAACGGCCATCTGCAAAAGTGACGTTGTCCGACCCGTGCAGCCGATCGAGCAGCTGCTGGGCCCGCTCCTGCACTCGAAGACCTCCACCGTGCCTGTTTTCGTATTGGTACGTCCGGGCAGCAGCGGCCGTAGCAAATGAGACAAGCGAGGCGAATTCGAGGTTGAACCTGGGGTCCGTGAGAGACTGCAGCGCCGGTGCTGAAATCAAATCCCTGGGCCCGGGGGCGAGCCGGAGCAGCGCGCAAGCCTCTTGTTGAAGCGCTTCCAGAGGAGTGCGCTCAAGGTGGTCCACGAAGAAGAGCACGCTCAGGACGTAGACGCGGTAGGCCACCACCGTCAAACAAAGGCCCGCACCGATCGATCTCCACGACTCCGCTCGGTCGTGGAACTTCTTCAACGGAGCGTCCCAGGAAAGTGTCCCACGGCCAGGCCCCACTTCAAATCCCAAGTGTTTCGCGTGCGAGGCTATCCCAATCTGGCCCCACCCACTCGGGAACCGGCCCCGCAATGGCAGAGCTCAGCGCCTCCCGGTCGTCACTCGAGAAGGGGACCACAGCCGTTTTCGCGATATTGAAGAGTACGCAGGAGACCCGTGCCACCTCCGCAAAGATGGAGGCCACCGTGGGCACGGCACGGAACCCGCCATGGAGGAGCACCGCTGCGTCGTCCGCGCAGGCCCGGCGCAGGGACCAGCACAGACGCCCCACTCGCTCGAGGAGGTCGGACGAGGCAGCGAGGAGCAAAAAGGACAGAGGACACCCTTGCATGACCCCTGGCGTGGCCACGGATCCGTCGTAGAGCGCCCCGCCAAACGCAATCGTGCAACTGTTCTGGCGGTAGAGAGCCCAGAAATACCGGAATAACCAATCGGGCCAACCAGCGAGCCGGAACAGCTCGAGCAAGAACGCGTGCTCCACAGAGGGGGACGCCGCCTCGAAGTCCATGAAGAACACAAGGGCGTCAGGGTGCTCAATCGCGTCGATGCACATCGCCTCCTCCAGGTCGATGACGCTGGCGAACATGGACCAACCGTGCGGGAATCTGCGCTGGTCCTGGGAAATCCTGGGAGCCATGGCAGGTTCGAGCATAAGCTGGACGGCGCTGGCGAGGATGCGGTTGTCAGCGGTGACAACGTTTAGCGGCCGCGTGGCGCTGGCAGTGTACACTGGTACGCCCTCGTCCGTAGCACCCACGGCCTCCTTCGTGTAAGTCAGAGGGGGTATCGGAAAACCATAATATTTACAAGGTTTCGTGCCTCTCTCGTCCCTCCTGGCAGGCCCCGACAAAACGAGACGGGGTATCGGAGAACCATAAGTTCGTGCCCCTCCCGCCCCTCCAGGGAGGCCCCGCCAGAGCGAGGAGGTTATCGGATAACCATACTATTGACAAGGTTTCGTGTCGCTCCCACCCTTCCGAAGAGGGTATCGGAAAACAAATGTATACAGTTCCGGGCCCTTTCCCATCCATCCAAAGAGGCCCCGCCTGAGCGAAGAGGATATCGGAGGTTTCGTGCCCCTCCCACCCCTCCCAAGAAGCCCCGCCAAAGCGAGGGGTGTATCTGCGAGCCATACTGTTTTTAAAGGTTTCGTGTCCCTCCCACCCATCCAGGGAAGCCCCGCCTGAACGACGAATGTATCGGCGGACCATACAACCTAAAAGGTGTCGTGCCCCTCCCACCCCTCCAAGTAGGCCCCGCCAGAGCGAGGAGGGTACAGGATAACCATCTTATTTGTCATTGTTCCCCTCCCCTGCCCCTCCAGGTGGCCTCGCCAGAGCGAAGAAGGTAACGGATAACCATACTAGTTACAATGTTCCGTACGCATCCCACCCCTCCAATTCTGTCATGCGCGCGACGGCGCGCGCGTGCGCCCTTCGCCCCATTTGCTGTAAAGGGACCTTGGCAACTCATGAGGTTGAATAGACAAATGCGCGCGCGTAAAATTATGCACGAAGAAGAGGGAGTCGACACCGGCATTGGCTGGGATGGCATGGGCGCGTATCTAGAGCGAACGCTGGGGCAACATCGTGTGTAAGCTGCACATCCCGAAGGCGGACGGATAAGTCCGGAGGGGGAGGGCGGTGGATCCGATTTTCATTTCAGAATGGACAACGCATGTGGCGCAGTCTACGTGGTGCAAGTCTGCGATGCCGCGGCGGGGCGGCGACGAGGCTGCGACTGGGCGGCGGCGGCGGCAGCCACATAGCCGATATCAGTATGGAACTCACACGGAAACTAATGCTTACATTGCATTCTTCTGGGGGGTCTCATATAATCATATTGGAAGCCAGAATGGACAACACTATTTAAACTCAGTGCGATAGGAACCGAACTTTATATGAAACCCACGATCTATACATGTACACTGCACTCATCTGGAGTCCCATCTTGGTATTGAGCCCGTACTGAAAATAAAAGCAGCGAACTCTGGGAGCGCACACGGAAACGCTCGCCGTGGCCCATGTCCGCCAGTGATCAGGCGATGATCAGCACATGCCTGTTTCATGTAGGCCGCATGAATTGCCTATCCATGCGGGCGCCAACGGTGCCATTCAAGCCCAATGACCCGGAGATGAACAGGTGGTACCCGGGTCCCAGTGACCAGGTGACGATCGACCCTACTACTACTGGGCTACTACTACTACTACTACTACTACTACTACTACTACTACTATTGTTACTACTACTACTATTGTTACTACTACTACTAATACTACTACTACTACTACTACTACTACTACTACTACTACTACTACTACTACGACGACGACGACGACGACGACGACGACGACGACGACGACTACTACTACTACTACTACGGCTACTACTACTACTACTACTACTACTACTACTACTACTACTACTACTACTACTACTACTACTACTACTACTACTACTACTACTACTACTACTACTACTACTACTACTACTACTCCTATCCTTATTCCTTATTAGAATATACTCCTACTCCCCCCTCAGGCCGGCCGATAGGGGCCGCATCCGGGTGGTCCCATCCTAACCTGTAAAAAACAATACAAAATCAACATTTTCTTATTTTTTCCTCTCGACATGGACGTCCTGTCGTCCACGGCGATAATCCATTGCAAAAAAAATACCACAAAGAGCACACGCGCGCGTTCATGTCATAATCCTACCGAACACCGTGTGTTTGCAAGCATTTCAACATAAAAACATCAAAAACCTAATGTTTTTTTTTTCACAAAAACGGTACAAATTTCCCGCCCGGGCTCTCTTTCTGAAATCATAGGAAAACCATAGGAATCTTAAGAATTCTGTCAAATCCAACGATTTCACGTCATCGCGCGGTGCACTCGCGATGCTCTGTCATGCACCCAGGCCGCGAATCCTGTGCAAAAAAATACCACAAAGAGCACGCTCGCGCGTTCATGTCAGAATCCTACCGAACACCGTGTGTTCGCAAGCATTTCAACATAAAAACATCGAAAACCCAATGCTTTTTCACAAAAATGCTTTGGAGTGTCCTGTCAGACCGTCGGGCTTCCTCCAGCCACCTCTGGCTTCCTGCGGTGTACCGGGCCATTCTCGACTCGTCTGGCAATGCGTGCGCGGCATTCAACACGCGCTCGCCAGTTCCCGTCGGCAACCGCCATCGCGGCCGCATCAGCTGTACCAAACCGGCTGGCCGGTGAGACTTCGGCCCCCAGTTGTGTCAGCTTTGCTTCTTATGTTGTGGGAGGGCGGGCGGGACTGGGCATGCCATGCTTGACTCGCTTGAGCTGGCTAGCTTGACTCCTACTCCTACTCCTACTCCTACTCCTACTACTACTACTACTACTACTACTACTACTACTACTACTACTAGCCCACCCCCCCCTCAGGGGGACCCCCGACGACCATTCTACATGGGAAATACCGTATCGAAACCAATGTTTTCCTACACCGAAATTTACAAAACAAATAACAATGCAATCGGAACCCCATGCTGCACGCGCCCCCGCGCGCACGGCCCCCTGCACACCATCAAGTGTACTCATGTAGACCTTCACGCCCTGAAGATCTTGTTGTCGCGGCAAAACTTGATCACGTCCCCCATGGCCTTGAACCTGTCCTCCACGCCGATCCAATGGCACCGCTGCCCCTCGCGCAGCGCCCGCGCAATCGCCTGCGGCTTGTTGGCGTTGATGCCCACGAGCTTCTTCTTCTTCAAGTGGCCCCATATGCTGTCCAACGACTGCGCGCCAGCGACGACGCCCTTGCCGTCGACCTCCGTCTCTACTCCGTGGGTTTGCACTGCGCGGCGTCTAGACGATAACCCCCGCGTACACCGATATATCATCTGGCTTCGGGGCCCCCGTGCGGGATGCGATTGCCATGAGTGCTCCGACGACTCTCTCGGGGTGGCGCCCGTCGTAGTTGAGAACCTCGATGATCTGGTTGTCATTGAGGTTGTCACCGATGCCATCGGATGATACGATGACATAGTCGTCAAGCATGACGTGCACCTTGCCGGCCGCCCCCTGGGAGACGAGGTGGGAGACGATGGCCGGGTCGCGGCCCTGTTCGCGCATGATGCAGATCTGTTTCGGCCCCATGACGTTGTTGCCACTGGAATCGGTCATCGGCTGGTGCTGCTTGTCCGTGTTGAATATCTTTGTGTACGTCCCTAAGACCGAGTTGGGGCGGAACACCTGCACCGCGCAGTCCCCGACGTTGAAGTAGGTTAGCGGGCGCCCGATCACCGTGGCGACCGCGGCGCACGCGGACCCCAACGCGGTGGTTTGGCCTATCGACATCTGGACGAGGCGGCGCAGCCGCGCACCCTTGGAGGAAGTGTCGACCGTTTCTGCGCCGTACCCGACAGCCGCAGCGACCTGACGGTCGTACTCCGTGCGGTCCGTGGTAGCCTTGGTATTTTAATGCATAGTATTGTTATGTTATTTGTTTGTGTTTTGTGTATTTGTTTTTTTTTGTGCATGGCCTTGAAGCGCTGGCGCAAGTTGTGGCGGACGCAGTCCCGCAGGTCCTGCGACAGCGCCTCGGGGCGCAGGGGCGGCGGCACGCCGCCCACGCCGTCGAACACGGCGGCCCAGCGTGCGTCGTGCGCGGTCATGTCCGCGTTTGCGGACCCGCCGAGTGCCTTCAAGGGGTGCTGGGTCTTCGCGGCGAAGCCCCATAGGGAGAACATCGAGGCGGGCATCGGGCGATGCCTGGTGGTGCGGGGCGTGGCTCGCGCTGCGCTCGGCTTGGCGGAGAACGCTGCGATTGCGGCGAAATAAACAAGAGAACGAGGTGGGCAAAAAAGGGGAGAGGAGGAGGATAAGGAGAGGGATGATGAAAACGAGATGGGTGTTTTTCCCTGCGGGGTAATACGAACAGCGTTTACTAACTGTTCGCCCGTCCCTCCTCCTCCTCCTCCTCCTCCTCCTCCTCCTCCTTCTCCTCCTGCCCCTACCTCGAATGGGCATGTGCAGCCCGACGCAGTGGGCATTGCACCCGAAAGAGTTGGGCATTGCACCCGAAGGGTTGGGCATTGCACCCGAAAAGGTTGGGCATTGCACCCGAAAAGGTTGGGCATTGCACCCGAAGGGTCGGGCATTGCACCCGAAAGAGTTGGGCATTACACCCGAAGGGTTGGGCATTGCACCCGAAAAGGTTGGGCATTGCACCCGAAGGGTTGGGCATTGCACCCGAAGGGCCGGGCATTGCACCCGAAAGAGTTGGGCATTGCACCCGAAGGGTTGGGCATTGCACCCGAAGGGTCGGGCATTGCACCCGAAAAGGTTGGGCATTGCACCCGACGCAGTGGGCATTGCGCCCAGAAAGAAGTTGGGCATAGCAGCAGCATAGCAGCAGCATACCAGCAGCATAGCAGCAGCATAGCAGCATCATAGCAGCAGCATAGCAGCAGCATAGCAGCAGCATGCCATCATCATACCAGCAGCATAGCAGCAGCATAGCAGCAGCATAGCAGCAGCATAGCATCAGCATCGCAGCAGCATAGCAGCAGCATAGCAGCAGCATAACCACAGGGACGGGAAGGATACACCTCTGCTCTGTATCCTTTGGAAAGCACCACAAAAGGATTCTATTGGAAAGCCTCACAACAAGAACCCTTTGGAAAATGCTACGAAGGGTTCCTACTGGAAAGCATCACAAAGGGAATCCTTTGGAAAGCTCCACAAAGAAACACCCAAAAGGAAGCTCCCGCCTGAGAGGCCCCCAAAAAAACACTCAAAACGAGGCTCCCGCCTGAGAGGTCCCAAAAAAAACCAAAAGAAATCCAAGAGCCACCCCTCTCATCCCTGTAACTGTCTCAAAAAACAGAAAAAAGTTTCAGAGGAGAACTCCTCCCCCCCCCCGCTTCCTCCTCTTCTTACCCGTCAACTAACACACCCAAAACGAGGCTCCCGCCTGAGAGGTCCCAAAAACACACACACAAAATGAAGCTCCCGCCTGAGAGGTCCCAAACAAAACACTCAAAACGAGGCTCCCGCCTGAGAGGCCCCAAACAAACCCAAAGAAATCCAAGAGCCACCCCTCTCATCCCTGTAACTGTCCCAAAAAACATTAAAAAAAAAAAGTTTCAGACGAGAACTCT